GAGCCAGTGCTGGCGAACCAGGAAGCCACCACTTTTTGAAAACCAGTGCAGCTTTTTTTCTGCTACCGCTGAATCAGGAAAACCTCTCTTAAAGGAGCCATGCCTCTGCTTGCTTCTAGCAAACAGAACCCACCCAAGAAAATGCCACTACCAAACCATGCTTAACTCTATTCTTTTGTGTCTAGGATTCTTTTTTAAGCTTTCTCAGGTTTTAAGTCAATTTTTAGTTAGCCATATTGGGTGCCAATTTGTGTGGTTTGGCCACTTGTTGGTTGGTTCCCGGCTGCTCAGCCCCTGAAATAATCACACAGAAAATATATTAATTATTAAATCATTGCTTGGTCAATCACTTATGTGTATTGCTAACTAGCTCTTACATATAGAATTAACCCATCTCCATTATTTCATATTTTACCATGAGGCTTGTGGCCTACCAGCAAAGTTTCAGCATGTCTGTCTCTGGAGGTGGCTCCATGGCTTCTCTCTGACTCTGCCCTTCTTTCTCCCAGCATTCAGTTTAGTTTTCCCTGCCTAGCTAAGTTTTGCCCGGCTATAGGTCCAAAGCAATTTCTTAATTATTCATTAATGGTAATCACAGCATACAGAGGGAATCCTACATCAAATCTCCTTTCATTATCATGTGGACTTAGTTTGAGAACACCTAATCCAGCTATGTGTTTTCATAGCAGTCCAGTCACTATAAAGGTTAGCACAGGTGACAAACTGAGATCTCAGTGGAAATCTCCATGTCCGCTGCTGACTCTACTACATCAAATTTGCCATTGTCAGTGATTTTCATCAGTTCACTTAAAAAACAGGAACTTGGGGCCAGGGACAAAAGTAAAAGCTCCTTTTACAATTCCTGTTTCCCAGAAAGGATGTCTTAATCAGCCAAAAAGAGTGAATGGATTTCACAAATATTGACATCTTGAAATTTTCCTCTTAAAATACTTTGCATCATCAAACATTCTTTCTTTTTACAGCAGCATTCAAATGTCCACTAACTTAAGTTAAAACTGTCAGAAATTTCTGCTACATATTATTCATGCCAGGGTTGTGGAAAATAGGGACTAAAAACAAATTTTTCTTTATTTGCTGTGGGAAATTTTGTTTCATGTTTACTAATATAAGCCCTCTTTTACTTAAACTAATATTTTCTTAAAACTTTACATACTTAGGAAAGGTGCCCAGGATGGTTTAAACGTCTCACAATTTGAAACTAGGAGTGAATCTTATACAGTCATAATACAACTCTACCACAAAACAGACAAGATTAACGTGTATAAAGATGCAGTTCGTTTGTTTGCAGAAGTATCCTCGTTTTACTAGATACATTCTAAATATACATTATGTAATTGACCTTTTAAAGTCTTTTCCCCTTGATTCACATATTTCCATCTGAATTACAAAGTTGTGTCATGATCATTGTACCTTACCAAAGCATTACTAAATAGTGTGCCTGTTTTTACTACTAAAATCTCATAACTGTTGATAGCTCTGTAATGATGAGATTAATCCACCCTAAGGAGAAAGAATGAAGCAGTAATATCTTACTGCTGTGGTTTGAATCACGTGTTAGGTGCTTATTTCCTTGGATCCACTACATGGAAATGGTTGGACCCCGTGGAAATCTTTCAGGCCATTGAAAACATGCCCACCAAGGATATTGTGGGACCCAGGCCTTTTATTCTTATTTCTTTGTGCTTAAGTGTGTGGTTTCTTCTCCAGCAGAAGATAAAAGCCGAACTTTGGATCAAAAGGCCCACATTTAGAGATGGCAGTTACTGGCTGGCCTTCATGTTGGACTGTATGTAATGTTTGTGCTGTCTTCTTCATTCTGTCTCCCGCAGCAGTTAGCATAGTGCCTGCCTTGAGAAAATGACAAATAATTATTAACTTCCTGCAAGCCAGGGGGGCTATTTGGGAGTAAATATTTGAGCTGAGCCTTGAAAAAGAGGAAACATTTGACCACAAGATGACCATGGTAGAAAAAGGAAAACAGCATGAGGAAATAGTATGCAGGAAATGGCATAGCTGAGACTGAAGCAGAATCATAAATGTGGAAGGTATTTTTGTTCACTTGGTTCCTTAATGTCTCTGAGTCTTGGAGGAAGTAAAATATGACTTGCTTGCGCTTCAAGATGATTATGGAGGACCAAATAGGAAAGAGTAGAAAAGTGCTTTATAACCTGGAGAGTGATAAAAAGTTGTTAGCTAAAACTTATGATTCTGCTTTGGATTTCTCTTATCCAACTCACCCATATTCTTCTTACCCAGAACAGATTGATTTTCTATTTATCTTAACTTTTATTTATTTCTGCCTTTCTGACTACATAGACCTTTCTTTCTACTTTCCTGGTCTTGCCCTTTTCTCCTTCTTTTCACATCATGTTTGTCTTCAAAGAGCAAACCAAAATACCATTTATACTCCCAGGGATCTCTGAGCATCCCGTTTTTTTTTCTGAATTTATGATGGTTTGAATGAAAATGGTCCCCAAAGGAAGCAGCACTATTAGAAGGTGATTTTTTGAAGTAGGTGTGGCCTCGTTGAAGGAAGCATGACACTATGAAGATGGGCTTTAAGGTCTCATTTGCTCAAGCTTCCCACAGTGTGACTTTTGATTTCCTGTTGCCTGCAAGATGTAGCACTCTCAGCCCCAGCACCACATCTATCTATATGCTGCCTTGCTCCCCATCATGATGATAATGGACTGAACTTCTGAAACTGTAAGCCAGTCCCCAATTAAATGTTTTTCTTTATAAGAGTTGTTGTGGTCATGGTGTCTCTTCACAGCAATAGAAACCCTAAGATAGAGTATTCAAACACTTAGCACAAGAGACAGGTTTATTTTTTTTCTGCTTGTAGCTGATATATTTCCTGTGTGCATAGCTGGATGATTAGCTTCAAGGGGAAGATGGAATGCACAGCTTACTTTACATGTCTTTGATTGCTAATTTAAAGTCTTAATAGCAAATGTTTATTAAACTACAAAAATATTCATGGTAACTAATTATATGTAAAATAAGTAATTAATTTTATAGCTGGAGAGTAGGATATTGAACATTTTCAAATAATATCATTTGTAGATAATGAGATTCAAGTGGACATGTAAACCTGGAGATTCTTAAATTAGATAATTTAGTGTTTGTGAAGAAAGCTACATAATGAGTAAAGTGGACAGGAAGACTAAGAAGCCTGGGTAGTTATGAACTAAGTAGGAAAGACTTTTATAGCCACGTGCATGGGGACACCACTGAAAAGATTGATATAAATGGGTTTATATTTTAGAAGATTGATCTGAGCGCTGCATGAGGAAAACATTGGGGAAGGTAATTAAAAACAGAGACATGTTAGGGGATTAAAGGAATCTTAGAGAGAAATGTGGAGATAGAGAACATGATATTTTTCTAAAATAAAATCAGTTGAATATGATGGAAATGGCCAGAGATAGGATAGGGGTGCTAAAATGACTCCCACAGACAACCAGTCTTCAGTGAATGACGTTAATTGGGTAGAGGAGAGGCTAGTTGTATATGTGACTTCATAGTGGAAATAACCACGTTATCGGATATTCGTCAGAAGCAAATTTGGGCTAGTTACATACATTTAAGATTAATGAAGAAGCCATATAAATCAGTATGTAGTTCGGTGACTTCTGTCCTGATGCTTGTAGGAATTGCATATGTTGTAGAGGGGAGAAAGGCAGGCTGCTTCGAGGTAACTACTGACCTGACAATAGATGCTAAAGATGTATAAAGCTGGGAATGCAGGGAGAGGGCAGTGGAAGAGCTGGGAGAAACACATTAATGGACCTGCAAGAGTGTGTCGTTTGAAGGAACTGCCGTCCAGCTCAGACACTGCCAAATAGAGAGAATCCCAGGGTTACAGAGCCTCTGTTCTCTACAACTTTGGACAAGTTTGCTAATACTGTGGGAAGCAGAAGTGATGTTTTAAAGTCCTCTATGAGTCACTCACACTGATTACTCTACTAGTTTGCAGTCTCTGCTAGAATAGGAACCTTCGGGCTATTTGGAGGCTGGATCGGGAAGGAGAACAACAGTCACAAAACAAACTAACAGTTACACAAACAGAAATGGTCCCAGGTCAGGTTTGTCAAGGTAAGTCTAGAAATGTCCACTAGCCTTGCCCAAGAGAAGTACTGAAAGAAGCTCCTCCTCGCTGAGGTACAGAGCCATGCCACTAAAGAGATGAGTACATACACATTGTCTGACTTAGTGTGTGACATGAGTGGACATAGAACAAATGAAACAGGCACACGTCCAGTGAGCTGAACAGTGAAATCATGAAGACTTTAAGTGTGGGCAGTTGTTTGGGAAACTTGTTAAAGAAGTGGAACAATGTGCAGCCAAACCTGAAATGGGGAAATGGGAACCAGGCCTTGGGACTCAAACAGGAAAGAGAGTTCCAGGGTCCTTAGTGGCTGGTATTTTCAGCTCATCTTCAGACAACAGGATGATTCCTGCCCCCTCCCCTTGAGAACTGAGGTGATCAGATGGAGCACTTAGCATATGACAACTTGGAAGTTACATTAACCATGTATCACTTTTGTCGGCTTAGCTTTATTGTGTTTTCATGGATTTGTGTGTGTGTGTGTGTGTGTGTGTGTGTGTGTGTGTGTCTTTACAGAAACGAGTTGTCTGTTATTGCAGTCATTTATATTTTATCTTAAAATTACATTTAACATTTTTCTTTAGGAATCCAAGAGTTAGGAATTTTGCTGGCATGACACACAAACACTTCCCTTGCGACCTTTTTCTGTGATGTAGTGCTGCAGAGTTCTAATGAGAAGTCCTTCTCTTAGATTCTGCCAGGCCCTGACCACTGTAAGAATCAGCAGTAGAATGTAGAGATGGTCAGACTCTTAGAACTGCACCACTCAAATAGAGACTTCATCTCAAGAATGTGACTTAGCCTGTGTTAGTATTCTTATTTTTATATTACCATGGTCTGATGGTGCTACAAATATATTCCCTTTTAGAATGTGAAACACAGAAAGTATGCAAGGTGGAAGGCAACATATATCCATAACTGCTTAAAGAACGGGGAGACTCCTCAAGCAGGCCCTGTTGGAATAGAAGAAGATAACGGTATGTATCTATTAGTCCTAAACAGAAATGGTTCAGTAGAATGTTGAGTTTTCAAAAGATTTCAAAGTTTTCAGAAGGTGCTAGCAATTTTTTTCACCTACAATAATTATAAAACCAGAAATTTGGACACATTTAAGATTACAGCTTTACATGTGCTGTCTAAACATGTCAGCTAAATGTCTCCACTGTCACCGATATCTACCTAGACTTCATCTTTGCATAGGCAAATACTCAGAGTGTGACCTAGAAGTGTTGCCAAACCCCAATGACTATTATATTAATGTTGTGATGCTTTGTGTATTTTTTTAATTGTTCCATATTGGCAGGGGACAGGGTTATATTTTACAGGGCTCCAAAAATTACAGATCATACAAAAGTGGGAAGTGAATTTTTAATTCCATATACTCATCTTCCTAGATCCTACCAAAATTCAGATAGTAAATACTTTAGTGTTGTTCTCTTAATAGAGATTTTTTTTAAAACTTCCAAGCAAATAGAAATATGGATGGATGGATGGATGGATGGATGGATGGATGGATGGATGGATGCCACATAAGCCCTAGGAAGACTGCGGAAATCATTAATTGATGAGATAAAAAATAACCATGTATTTAATAAAAGCTAGAGTTATGATTTAATGAATGGCTGTTTGTGCTGTCTAGGATGCTGATCAGCTGTAATTCACAGATGGGTTATGGGAAACGGAAAGCAAATATATTAAATTTTGTATATACTTAGCATAAGACTAGTCTAGGTATTTCCGCTAGATCAGGAGTTCTCAATCAATTTGATCCCTCTTGAGTCAAATGACCTTTTCATAGGGGTTGCCTAAGAACTATCAGAAAACAGATATTTACATTGAACTTCATAATGTGATTGACTGTTGACAGGTTCAGTCATGTGCAAGCCCATTATTGGTAGCCATGGTGCAGTGAGATCTTGACTGCATTAGCTATGTCATTCTAAGAATTTAGCATTTCCTGGACTTTCTCCATTATTTTCCTGATGCTACAGTCTTTTCTCCTCCTTTTCATGATGTTTCCTGAGTTTTTAGTGGGTGATATAAATGTCCCATTTGGAACTTACAACTCAGCTAGCACCTTGAGTAACAACGAGTCTCTTACATTTAGCACCATTCATTGCAAGGTGAACCGACTTTAAGCCAGACTGAGAGTAATATTTTTGTGAGTATCTCTAGTTTCATTTCTATTACTTTGACCAAAAACAGTTTGAGGTAGTTTTATTAGAAAAGTATTATTTCTACAAAAGTCCAACATTTAGGAAAATCAGGGTAGGAGCTTCAAGAGGGACTTGAAACCAGAAACCATAGAAGAACACTGTTTGGTGGGTTGCTTGGAAACTTATACTTTGCTTGCTTTTTTATATAGCCCAGGGCACCTTGCTCAGGGTATACTGCTGCCCACAGTGGGCTAGACTTGCCTACATAAAATAATAATCAGGGCAATTCCTGGTAGACATGCTCTCAAACCAGTCTGATCTGAACCAAACCTTCAATTGATACTCTCTTCTCATGACTTTAGGATAACTAAGACCATTGATGCCAGCTACCTGATTTTCACCTTTCAAGAGGTACTATAAAGATTATGCTGTTGGAAGGAAACATTCAGTTTAGTTCTAGCTTGATTTATCTGTATCTTGGAATCACCTTATATGTCTTTAGTAATAGAGTCTTCTCATCTAGGTCTGGTAACCAACCAAGAATAAGCAAAATTGTGTATTGATTTGATGGTACCTGGGGTTTCCTTGACTAACAGTTCATAAGGGAATATCCCACACCTGACACGGGTATTTCTTTTTAATAACCCATTATCTTTAGAAGCAGCGTTTCCCACCCTGCAGGATACCTCTCTTCTAAAATTCTCCCTTTTCCCCCAACCTTGACTTTTCCTGCTCCATTTCCTTCTGTTTACAAAGTAGTAGCTGTCCATGTGACTTTTTTATGTGCCCTTCCATTGCCATAACCCTCTCTCCCCCACTCAACTTTCCCATCTTTGTCTACATTTTCCACCCCTAGTATTCCTACTCTGTTTTCATATTACCTGTGTTACCCACCCCTTCCCTTAAAGCATCCTTCACCTCAATTGCCCTTTTTTACTACCTGACTTGCAGGTACTATAAGATAACCTCACAAACTTAAGGATTTGAAGCTAGGACCTATGTAGGAAAAAGAACACAAGGTTTGTTTTTATGGGCCTGAGTTACCTGACTCAGGGTAAGCTTTTTCAGTTTCATCCATTTGCCTATAAAGGTAAGAATTCTGCTTTTCTTTAAAGGTAAATGAGATTTCATTGTGCATATGTACCACATTGTCACTAGCTATCCATCCACTGATGGACATGTAGGCTAATTCTGTTTCCTAGTTATTGTAAAGAGTGGCAGTAAATATAGATGAGCAAGTACCTCAGGAGTAGAAGATAAAAGTCCTTTGGGTCTGTGCCCAGAACTAGAGTTACTGGCTCATGTAGTAATCTTATTTTTAGCTTTTTGAAGAACCTTTACATTGATTTCTATGGTGGCTTCACCAGTGTGTATTCCAACCAACAGTGAATAAAGTTTCCTTTTCCTCCATTTCATCACTATTTTCTTTTTGGTTGTCCTTTTTAATGTAATATATAATAATATATTTTGATCTTATTTTTTTTCCTCTTGCCTGAATCCTCTCAGATTTTCACCACTCCCTACCCAACCAATTTCTTATACTTTCTCTCTCTTTAAAAAAGAAATAAACAAAACACTAAAAGGACAAAAAAATACAAAAACTAAAACAGCACACACACGCACGTGCACACACACGTATTAGCTAACAACTCCTGTGTTCACTCATTGAAGAAAATTATTTTTCTCTCCAAGCAGGGATCAATTGCAAATAACTCCTTGGATAGGATTGGACTTGTACCCACTTCTCTATCTGGCCCAGGGTTTTGTGGGGGGTTGTGTACAGGTCTTGTGTGCTGTCAGTTTCTGTAAGTTCAGATGATCATCAGTCTTGTTGTCCCTGACAAATGCTATTTCCTTGGAGTCATCAGTCTGGCTCTTAGAGTCTTTCCTCCTCTTCTGTATGGATTCTTGAGCCTGGAAGGGAAAGTCTGATAAAGCCATCCCATTTAGGACTGAGTGCTCTCAAGCTTCTCACTCTCTGTACACTGTTTAGTTGTTAGTCTCTGTTACTTACCATCTACTGCAAGACCATGGTTCGCTGATAAAGATTGAATGATATATTTATCTCTGGGTATAACAGTTTGTCATTGAGAGTCATGTTACTGCCTTGTTCCCTTTGCAGACTAGAAGTAAATTTCCTCTAGGGCAGTCTAGTCTCAGATTCTTGACCACCTTAGCAGTGTCAAGAATTGGGTCTGTATATCATGGAGTAGATTTAAAAAAAAGAAATCCTGGTTAGTTGTTTCTGTAACATTGTGCCACTATTGCACCAGTGTATTTTGCAGGCAGGTTGCTATTATCAGTCACAGGGTTCATAGCTTGAAGATAATGATGATTAATTTTCTCATGGCGTGTATAGTACTCTGCAACACCATGTATGCTAATTAGTACAGGATAAGCTTTTAGTTGGGCTCCAGCTCAATTTCTCCATGAATGATAATGAGTGATGTCTTCAGCAATAGAACTAGCATTAGAAATTCCTGTAATATTTGAACAGGGGATCTATGGGAACACCATTGGCCAATGACTACAGGATATAACCCTCCCTGTGCTAAAAAAAAAAAAAAAAAAAAAAAAAAAAACCCACAAGGTTTTACTTGGTAGTGTGACATACATAGTTAGGGCATTGTTCTCATCATTGTATGTTAATTCCTATTAAATAATTATTTTCATATGTCTACATATACTTAAGCTTCTGCAGCAGTATTTTCATATGGCTTTTCAGAAACCTTTTAATGTTGTTTGTCCCTCCCCATATTCCCTCCTTTAGTCTGCCCTCCTGTCACCCTCCCCTTTTAATCCACCTCTTCTAGTTTCCTCTTCTACTGCTACCTTCCTAATCTCTTTCGTTATTCTAATTAAAGCTTACATACATCACATTTAAAAGCTAGCATCCACACGTGAGAAAAAACATGCAATGATTGTTTTTCTAGCTATAAATTACCTTTCTCAAGATGATTATTTTAGCTTCATCCATTTACCTGCAAATATCATAATCTCATTTTTCTTAATAGTTGAACAATATTCCATTGTGTTAATGTACCACATTTTTGTTACCCATTCATCAGTTCATGGACATGTAGTCTGTTTCTAATTTCTAATTATTATGAATAATGCAGAATTGTACATATCTGAGCAAGTATCTCTGCAGTAAGATTTAGAGTACATTGGGTATATGCTTAAGCTAGATTGGTTCTCGGGTTTTTTCTTTTTCTTTATTTTCTTTTGGTTTTTCGATACACGGTTTCTCTGTGTTGCTTTGGAGCCTGTCCTGGAACTCTGTAGACTAGGCTGGCCTCGAACTCACAGAGATCCCCCTGCCTCTGCCTCCCAAGTTCTGGAATTAAAGTTGTGTGCCAACACTGCCTGGCAATTGTCAGTTTTTTGAGGAACCTCCATGCAAATTTCTTTAGTGGCTGTACCAATTCCTATTCCTCACTTTTTCTTCTATTGTATTCAGGATATCTGGTTTTATGTTGAGGTCCTAGATCCATTTGGAGTCAATCAAATTTTATGCAGGATGTAGATATAGATCTATCTTCATTCTTCTACATGCAGCTATCCAGCTTACCAGCACCATTTGTAGGAGAAGCTGTATTTTCTCCAGTGTGTATTTTTGGCATCTTTGGGGCAAAAAAAAAAAAAGGGGTCTTTGGGTATTTGGACATACATCTGGATGGATATTTCAATTTAATTCCATTGATCATTGCCCCACCCCCAACATGCTGTTTTATTACTATAGCTCTGTAATGCAACTTGAAATGTGGGTTGCTAATACACAGTTTATTATTCAGGATTATTTTATATAGCCTGAGGTTTTTGTGTTTCCATATGAAATTGAAGATTGTTTTCATCAGTTTCTGTGAAGCATTATGTTAGAATTTTGATGAAGATTCTTTTGAATGTGCAGATTGCATTTGGTAGGATGATCATATGTTGTCATTGGTTGTTTACTTTTTAGCTCTTTTGAGGACCCGCCACCCTACTCCCAAATAAATCATGCACGGAAACTTATTCTTACTTATAAAGACCTGGCCTTAGCTTGGCTTATTTCTTGCCAGCTTTTCTTAACTTGACTTAACCCGTCTACCTTTTGCCTCTTGCTTTTATATTCCTCTTACTTCCGCAAATCTTTCTCCCACTCTAACTCCATGGATCGCTGGGTGGCTGTCCCTGATGTCCTCCTCTCCGTTTTCTATCTTTCTCTTCCTTCTATTTATATGCTATGCCTGCAAGCCCCACCTATACTTTCTCCTGCTTCGCTATTAGCTATTCAGCTCTTTAGTAGACCATCAGGTGTTTTAGAAAGGGCAAAGAATCATAGCTTTACAGAGTTAAACAAATACAGTATAAACAAAAGTAACACATCTGTACATCATTAAACAAATGTTCCACAGCATAAACAAAAGTAACATACCTTAAAATAATATTCTACAACAGTCATTTTCACAATATTAATCTTAATGATTCATGAGCATGGGATGTCTTTCCATCTCTGTGTCTTCTTCAGTTTCTTCAGTGTCTTAAAACTTTTATTATACAAGTCTTTCACTTGCTTGATTAGAGTTTTCCTTTGGGGTGCTTTTGTAAAAGATACTGTTAACTTAATTTTTTTTCTCATCTTGTTTATCATTTGTGTATAGGAAGGATACTGATTTTTGTGGATTTTCTTTAGTACTGTTACTTTATAAAAAATGTTTGTTAGCTATAGATGGTTCCCTTTGGAGTCTTTAACATCTTTTATGAATAAAATCATATCATCTACAAGTAAGGGTACTTCACCTTCTCTCCTATTTGTATCCTCTTGATATCTTTCATTTGTCTTACTCTTCCAGCAAGAGTTCAGGTGCTGTATTGATTAGGAATGGAGAGACTATCCTTGTCTTTTTTCCTGAATTTAGTGAAATTGCTTTGAGTTTCTCTCCATTTAAGTTGTTGTCTGTGTACTTGGAATAAATTACCTTTATTATGTTGAAGTATGCCCTTTGTATCCCTAGCCTCACTGGGACTTTTATAACGAAGGAGCGTTGCATTTTTGTCAAAGGTTTGTTTTTTTTTTAACATGTAATGAAATGATCATGTGGTTTTCACCTGTCTTAGTTAGGGTTTCTATTGCTGTGAAAAGACACAGAATGACAATGGTAACTCTTACACAGGAAACATTTAATTGAGGCTGGCTTACAGTTTCCGAAGTTTAGTCTATTATTGTTATGGCAGGAAGCATCACGGCATGCCGGCAGACGTGGTGCTGGAGAAAAGCTACATCTGGATCTGCAGGCCTCAGGAAAAGACTGTGATACACTGGACAGACTTGAGCATCTGAGACTTCAAAGTCCACCCCTTAGTGACATTCTCCTCCAGCAAAATCACACCTATTCCAACAAGGTCATTCCTCTTAATAATACCAGCCCCTATAGGCATGTTGGGGCCATTTTCTTTCAAATCACCACATTTCACTCCCTGACACCCATAGGCTTGTAGCCATATCATAATGCAAATCTACATTTAGTTCAACTTCAATAGTCCCCATAGTCTGTCACGGCCTAACACTGTTTAAAAGTTCAGTTTCTTCTGAGACTCAAGGCAATCTCTTAACTGTAACTACCTGTAAAATCAAAATGAAAAGCAGATTAGATTCAACATACAATGTAGACCTTGCTGGCCTCAAACATAGAGATCTACCTACTTCTGCCTCCAGAGTACTAGGAGTAAAGGTGTGCACCACTACACCTGGCCCTAAGCTTTTCTTTAATTCCTTTTCATAGGTTGGAAACTTAGCTGATTGGACTCTTACCCTGAACTCTCAACTCCCTGTATTCCATCCAACATCAGGCTTTCCCTTAACCTGTTTATCTCCCTGAACACAGGATTTAACTCTATTCCACTTCCTACTACCTCTTTCTCCTTGAACTGTACATTTTGTATTTTTCCTTGCTCAGCTTGCCTCTTTCATTGTAGTTCTTCGTGAGAGTGAACGCTAATAACCACATGACAGAATCAGTACTAGGCTCTTTTAAAATTTCCTCTGCCAGTGCCATTAATCAAAAACTCTTCAATTTATCCTCAGGCAGACATTTTGGACAAGGGCAAAAACAGCCAAATTTTTAGCTAAAATATCACAAGATTGGTCTGTAGGCCCCCACAGTTCAAATCATCCTTAGCACCACTGTCTTCCGTGTCCTTATAAGGATGGCTCATGTAGCCCCACTTAAATCATTCAGCTGCTTTTCTAATCCAAAGACCACTTTTCTCCAAACACCTATTATAATATACTGTAAATATCTGAACATAAAATTTCATTTTTAATTTTTATTAATCTTTGAACAACAGTAATAAATAATAGCCTTTACATAGTAAATATTGAATAAAAGACAACTATCAAAAAAACAGTCCATTTTGGAAAATATAAATGTAACCTATTTTGCCAAAAAAATTGTCTTTATTTTTCACTTGAAGTGTGTTTTAAAGAAAGAAATATTATGTGTAAAGAATGTGTAGATCTGGTTGTTACTGTGCTAAAGAAATGGTATTCATTGTCAGTCAGAAATTTTTCAGAAAATAAAAAATGATTTCAGGAAATAGCATGCTTATCAGATGCATTATGTGGAACTGTGTTTGTCATGTGATAGGAGAAAAATAAAAGTACTTAACAATTGTATTTAAAAATGCCTGCTTCAACATTGTACGTTCATTATATACAGATGTTGAAGAAAGTGAAGATGTTGGTGCCACCTCTCTGCCCACTCAGCCACCTCAGTCATCATCTTCAACATATGACCCAAGCAACTTGGCACCAGGCAGCTACAGTGGGATACAGATTCCTCCAGGTGCACATGCTCCAGCTAATACACCCGCAGAAGTGCCACACAGCACAGGTATGAATTCAGTACTGTGTCCCCATTTTCATAAAAATTACATAGTTCTGAAACTAGAAATAGCTCACTTAGCTCAGTGGGTAAGAGCAATCTGCACAAACATGAGGACCTTAGTTCAGATCCCAACACATGCATAGAAAGTTGGCCATGGCCATATACACAGATATAACCCCAACATTAAAGAGTGTAGAGACAAGGAGATTTCTGGTCTTGCTAGCTATTAGCTTAGCTCCAGATGTTTTTGAGAGATTCTATCCATTCACATACCATGTACACTACATCACACACAGGCATATATAAGCACCATGTACTTACACCACACACTCACACATGCATATGCACCACACACAATACACATGCACCACACACATGCATGCACATACACCACACTCAGGTTTTTAGAAGTAGGAGCAACACTTATATTTGGTCCACATAATGATGTTAATAGAGTTTGGTCCTCACATTCTGTTTCACTTTTGTTTTAGTATTTATTACATTCTAAATTTTTGAGCAATGACAGGTGCTTATATGTATTGATTACTGTTTGCTTCTTATTTTGCTAATGATGTTTTTTGTACATTATAGAAATGGCTCTTTCCTTTTTGTCTTCTTCCCTATTTGTCCCCTCCACTGTAGATTTAGACTAGTTCTGCAATACTAGATTCTTTCTCACTGGGTGTATTAGTTGGGATGCTCCCTCTACCTCTACATGGTCTCAAGAAGAGTCAGAAGCACAGAATTGACTAGTACTTACCCATAATGCATAGTAATCATAGAACTGACTAGTACTTAGCCATAACACAGAGTAAGCATAGAACTGACTAGGATGTAACCATAGCGCATAGTAAGCACTCTACAAATTAGCTTCTTTTCCTTATTCTTTTCTCACTCTCTTTCCTTCTCTATGGAGAGTCAATGGGCATTCAAAATAATTTTGTGAATCAAGACAAATATCATATGTCAGTGTAGCATGTACAGAAAGATGACCTGAAAGGTACTACTGTAGAAACAGATCCGAGAGTGTAGGAGGGAGGCCGCTTGTTTGTCCCGGCTGCCCAGAACCGAAGTAATCACACAGAAACCATATTAATTAACGCACTGCTTGGCCCATTAGCCGTATATTCTTATTGGCTGACTCTTCATATTAATTTAACCCATTTCTATTAATCTGTGTATCACCACGTGACTGGCTTACCAGGTAAAGTTCCTTCTGGTGCTAACAGGACTACATGGTTTCTCTCTGACTCCACCCTTCTTTCTCCCAGCATTAAGTTTAGTTTTTCCTGCCTAGCTAAGTTCTGCCCTGCTGTTTGTCCAAAACAGTTTCTTTACTTATTAATGATAATCACAAGAAACAGAGGGAAATACCACATCATGATGGCAGCACTGTAGTAAAATTACTCACCGCGGATTCGATACAGATTAGCTTTGCATGAGAAACAGCAAGCTATACTTTTAGTAGGAGGACTGTTTGATTGACCTATATAAAATTGCCATTTTTGAACAATGAAAAACTTCAAATCTTGAGAGCTTCATATAATCCCACTAATAGTATTTATTGTTGGGAATATTCATGACTATAAATATTAGGAGGTGCAATCTAGGAAGTGTTCTAGTGTGCACAGTACATTTTAATCTGGTTAACAAAAGCATGTGATGGCTGTGTGTTCTCTTTCTCCGTCTCTCCATAAACATATGTGTATAAATATAGCAAATAAATAAATAAATAAATAAATACCTCCTCTTTCATTTATCAAAAAAAGTAATTAAAGTAAAACTTCTAAGAAACATACTCAGTGAAGAACGAGAACTTGAATTCACGATTCTGACTTCATTTACTTAGCTAGCTGCTACCTCCTTTCTGTGACCTTTGTCTGTCATCCTTGGTAGATGAGGATCTAAAATCTTTTCAAATCCAAAGTACTTTCTCAATGACATAGTTCTATTTAGTTATTAAGTTTAGACGCTGGATCTCCTCTTAACTCCAGGTTCTTTTCTGTTACATTTACTCAGTTCATAGCTGTCAAATAAAAGAAAACAATAACAGTTTTAGTTTATAAACATAACAGATGTTTCCCCTCTTGCTCGCTTCAAGAGTGATTTACCTTCTCCCATGTAATGGGTCCAGGATGCACTTTTATCGAAGGGAAATCCTTCAGATAGCTGAGAAGAATAGTATGTACTCATTTACAAGTTTTAGTTCTTCCACAGAAAAAGCGATGGGTGCAAGCAGGCAGGAATAATGGTTGTTTGGCAGTGTTTACCTCTGTGCCTAAACCACATGGAACATTAATAATGTTCACTTTATCTCTCAAAACTTGTGCTTCTTGCAGTCTGTATTATAGAAGGCCTTAGCAGAAAATCAAACTAGATAAATATGATAGATTATGATAGAATTGTGCTATTGCTGCTAACTTTTGGGTGTTTTGTTTTGTTTTTTGAGACAGTGTCTCACTATGTACCCCTAACTGGCCTGGAGCTCTCTATGCAGATAAGTTGGGCTCTAATTCACATAGATCCTCCTGCTTCTGTCTCAGGAATACAAGGATTAAAGGTGTTCTCCATCACACCCAGCCCGTGCTCGCCTTTTTGCTTCTCACCTAACACACTGCAAACCTGAGCTCTGTGAGGAGCTGTGGAGGAAGAAATTATATTCTTGTGTTCTGTGAGGTGTCATTTATATGTTGACATCCTGGCCTGTGTTTCGATCTCAGTACCATTTCCCCCGGTTACATGGAGGATGCAGCATCCGGTTTCCTACTTTCTTACCTCTGCTTCTCTTAGTCTTTATAGGTTTTTCTCTTTGCTAGGCCTCTGCACCCCACTGCATTTCAAGGCTCTGTTTAAATTTGGGAGTTAATCTTTTTTAGCTTCTAACCAACTTTCATGTCTCCCTTCCTAAGAGTTTCCATACCATTTACTCTATAGAACAAGTTAGTTAACTGAAAATGTTGCATTATTCTTGAACATATATGGCTGCCTTCTAATATGCTGGCTAAGCGTAACTCAGAAGTTACATTCTGACATAATAGTTGCATTTTATTGAGTGACAGGAAAAAATAAATACTCAAGCACACTGCTTTCCTCCAGGAGTGGATTTTAAGAGACTTATCTCACTCCAGCATAGTGCAGTCTAAGTTGTGACCATTGTACAGATTGCCCAGAGGGACCCATCCAAATCCAAAACAGATTTTAAAAAAAAGCAGATGAGACCATCCGGTGACTAAATAGAACCTAAAAGACATTACCAACCTACCAGGTATTTTTGAGCTTACGTCAACCCATTATTTGTTTTCTACAAAAGGGCAGACCTGCCTCTGCTTTAGACAGGAAGAGACTTGTTCAGACAGAGTATCCTGCCTCAGGCCTGTACAGCTGAAGGACTGACCGAAAACTTAGTAAGATTCACACTGTGTGTTAAAATAATCTTTACATGGAATAATCCTGTATAACTAGGCAGTCCATGAATCCTACTGTGTTCTTAATACAGCCTATCACACATAATTATTTGAAAGTTATCATAGGATGCTGGCCTGAAAGTGTGGCCTTCTGTGAAGGAGTCGGCTGAAAGATTTAAGCTGTGGAAGAGTATGAGTCACTTGGGAAGAGTTGGTGTTACCTGCTCAGAGTATGTGCACGGCCATCTCTACTTAAGATATGTCTGCTGGAAAGCTAAATTAGGCTTGATAAACAGCCTCTCAGACCTCCTAGTTTGCTAACAGTCTTTGTTAATTTTGTTTTGTTTTGTTGTTTGAGGCAAAGTCTCACTGTGTAGCCATGGTTGGTCTGGAACTCACAGAGATTACCTGCCTCTGCCTCCCAAGTCGTGGGCTTAAAGTCATGCACTGCCATGCCCTGCTTTCTAACATTCTTTTTTTATTAACTTTGTGTGTGCTTTTAAATATTATGGGAAAATATGTCAAATGTTAATAGTTAAATATACTTTGTTAGCACTCATCAAAGTTAAGCAAAAGGTCACTGAATTGTTCAGCATAAATTTCCTATGTCTCCCGGCTCTGCCTTGAAAGGTACGTCCACTATAGTACTGTGTGTGTAGCAACTCTTAATAATGAGTTGTTTTGTAAATCATGGTCCATGCATTGAAAAGGAGCACTGTAAGGCCATTAAAAGGGAAGCAAGGATTGTATGTATTAATCTGGCATTACAGTGTCTAAGCTGTATGAACTCCAAAGCACACAGAGCAGTGTACTTACTATGCAGACCTAATTACTATTTGCAAGACATATGCCATACAGAATTGAATTTTCAGAAATCACGTGGTTTCTGGAGTTAATCAGCTTGTCTTTGTTTACTTTCCTTGCTGATCTAATCATGGTAGTCTTCTGTTATAAAACTTCAGTGCATTTTGCTAATTTTTTAGATGAGTAATAGGCTACATCTGGAATACAGTGCTAGTTCCTCATTCAGTATGACAGTGTTGACAAGGCTTAACAGGAAGTCAATCTAATCACTCATTCACCTAGAAGAAGTACCATCTTAAAAATATTAACTGGAGAATTGCAGTATTCATTTGCACATGGTTTTAAACTGTACTCTTCTGCCAACGTAAAATAAATCATTATTTTGTCTCGCTTTGTCCTCAAGGATACTCAACAGCCTAAGAGATTAAATGGTAGGAAGGGAGGTCCTCCTTTAAAGATACATGGCAACAATGTGACCACATAGTCACATACATATAAGTAATATGATATAGGATGAGCAGGTCACTGTTACTTGTTTATGAATGTGTACATAGATAACATATAACAGCAGTTAAAGAAAAGCATTGAATTGAGAGAGAGCAAGGGCATACATAGAAGTGGTTGGCAAGAGGAAAAAGATAGGGGAAAGTGGTGTTATTGTATATTAATTTCAGAGAATTAAAAAGAATTGAAACACTTGTCATGAAAGTTAACCCTCTTATTTTCCTGCTCATTTTCTGTTCCAGTTTGTAGTATAAGATCAAATTAATTCATCAGAATGAAGAAAATGTTGAAATAGTGAAATAATTGCCAACTGTTGATTGCTTTCCTAATAATACTTTATTAGGAGATGAAGAAGCACTTTCTGCATATCTCTGGTTTTCATTCACAGGCGTAACAAGTAATACCGCGCAGCCTAGTCCACAGACTGGTCCAGTCATCGATCCTGACCTGTATACAGCTTCCCAGGGTGAGTCATCCAGCTTTCTGAAGGTTGCATTGTGTTTCTCCTTATTTGGAGTGGTGTTTGTAATTGTTCCTTGAATTTACCATATAAGTTTGATGATAGAGGATACTCAAGTTTTTTTTCAGTATCTCTGCTTGATTGTCAAGGGAACCAGGATTCTATAAGATGGTCAGAGAAACCCACATCCAAAGATACTCCATTTTCTTTCTTTACTGTTCTTTTCTCCTCATTTGTTCTGTGATGAATATAATAACACATGTCTAGCCACAACTACTGTGAAAGCTTGTGGTCAATTACGTTCCTTCATTTCAAAATCACTATGTGTTGTCTTTGTGATTTTCCTAATCTGCACTACATTATTACACTATCCAGAAAGGAGAAAGCTAACAGTGATGAAAATCGGCATCGCTGTCTGCAGTTCGGTAATTTGATGGCTCGTGTCGTGTTGATGTCATCTTCTTCGTTTTTCTCACTTCTATTTTTTTGCCGCTAGTTGGATTTGAGCCATATTTTGATTTCACATTCAGTATTTAGATCTTATGGTCATGGAAAACCAAAACACGGTACTGACATAAACCCAACGTCTATATCAGAGTAACAGAATGGATGTCAGTAAATGAACTTAGACCTGTGCATCTCCAGTTAACCTGTTCTCAACAAAAGGGCCAAAGACAACCTCTGTAGAAAATGGTGGTAAGAAATCTGGGTATCTCTCTGCAGAAGGTTAATGTTATCCCCTTGTAGCTTTTATATAGAAATCAAACTAACATTGCTTAAAGACAAGACCTAACACTTGGAATTACTGGACGAAAATACAGAGGAAATACTAATTATTATAATTTTAGCCACTAGCATGCCTGGTACTTCCAGGTTCCAGGGCCACACATGTGCGGACAAGCCCTCAGGCAAAAATACCTAGCCAAAGGCCCTGTGTGACCCACGTGCAGCATGGTTGCATGACCTACGTATGACATAGGTACATCATCTTATCCTCCTGTGTGCATGCGCTAGAAAGCCTTTAAAATCTGGAGAACCATCTTCAGCCCTCTCTTTTGGAGCACCGACTTCACCAGGCCTGTACATGTCTCCTCTAATAAACTCCTAAGCGGGTTTGTTGCATGTTTTGTGCTTCCTTCTCGCACCAGGTAATTTCACTAATAGACATTGGTGGGCCAGTGATTTTATATGTAGATGACTTTTAAAGGACAGGAAATGAAAGCAAAAGTTGACAAATGGTATTGACTCCAGAGTAAAAGCTGAGCAGTGAAGAGGCAGCCTATAAAATGAGGGACATATTTCCTAACTATAGTCAACTGATAAAAGACTTATATATGGAATATTTATGTAAATTAAGAACTGTAACCAGAAATAGACCCATTTCAAAATTAGCAAGTTGTCGGGCAGTGGTGGCACACACCTTTAATTCCAGCACCTGAAAGACAACGGCAGGCAGATCTCTGAGTTCAAGGCCAGCCTGGTCTACAGAGTGAGTACAAGACAATCAGAACTACACAGAGAAACCCTGTCTCGGGAAAAAAAATGAAAAAAGAAATTACTACATGATCTAAATAAACACTTGGAAGAAGTTGAAATGGCCAACAAATATATATAAATGATTAATATCTTTAGCTGTCTGTGAAATACAAATCAGAGCTACAAAAATATTAGATATGGAGATTAAGGAACTTTTATATACTATAATAGTTTATTAGTTAAGACAGTCTTTGTGGATAATAGTCCAGATACTGAAACTGATCTTCTAGCATGTCATCCAGCTGTCCCACTTTCAGGTTCCCAGATTTATATATGGGAATAAATCCATAAGCTAAAAGGGCAGCTGTATCTATATTCACATGCCGCTATTCCCAGTAACTAAGAATATGGTCCTGAATGGCTATCAGCAAATTAGCCAGTGGAGAAAATCTGATATATGTGTCCTGGTGAAGTTTCTCTTGCTATGATAAACACCATGACCAAGTCAGATGGGGAGGAACTAGTTCTTTTTGTACTATACTTAAAGCCCAGCACTAAGAAAAGTCGGGGACCTCGAGGCAGGAACTGAAGCTAAAGCCATAGAGGACTACTGCTTACTGGATTTCTCCTCAAGGCTTACTCAGCCTGCTTTCTTAGAGCAGCAGGACCACTTGGCAGCTCAGAATAGCACGCTCACAGTGAGCTTGGCCCGCCCACATCTATCAAGAAAATATACCACAGGCTTGCCTCTGGGCCAGTCTGGCTGGAGCATTTTTGTGGTTGAACTTTCCTCTTCCTTAAAGATTCTGTTGTGTCAAGATGTCATAATACTAGCCAGCACAATATGTAAATGTAAGCTGTTGAGCCATGAAGGTGAGTGAAATCCTGTGAGTTGCTGCCAAATGAATGGAACCAGTTGAACTATAGGACATAAACTAAAGAAGCTGGGAATGGAAAGACAAGCACTGCGTTATCTCATACGTAGAAGCTGAACATTTAAATGGCAGGTGATGGTCTGTACATGCTATTTGCATGTGTTCAGATAGCATGTGAACTAGCACCTGTTAATCAAAGTTTAAATCAAGTAAGAATAAAACAAGGATTAAGTCATTAAAACAGAAAATAAAAACTTAAAAAAATTGTTCAAAACAGACCACATACCTAAATGTAAAAAGGAAGTCATACCCCTTGATGTTTATCCAAAGTAGAGAACCTGTCCACAACAAAACTCTGCATCCAGTGTTGTTTGATCTTTATTTATTTTTTTACCAAAACTGAGAAGCAACACGATCTCTCTCGTTGGTAAAGGGATAAAGTGTAGAAAACACATGTGATACATCATCCTGTGTTAAATGCAGATGAGCTGTCCATTTTAAACGAAGGAAATGAAAGGAAAGTTAGGTGTCTTACTAAATGAAAACCCAGTCTGATGTCTCACTTGCTTCACTAGTCCAGAAGCTCTGCACGTGTACTTATGTGAGCCCACACTGTCAGGAGCTGGGGCGTGTCTCAGTGAAGACAGAGGGTGGAAGGTCTAGAGAGCTTAAACTAGCACTACCTGCATGGTGAGATCGCCATTGCACCTTCTCCCTGATTGTTGACAGAGGTTTCTGCCCTACCCGGTCCTGCAGTCGTTCAGTCCCAAAGAAATACACAAAGACCTACGTTAATTTTAAACTACATTAATTTAATTTGGCCTATTAGGTCAGGTTTCTTATTAACTCTTATAACTTATATTAGCCCATAATTATTATCAGTGTTAGCTACGTGGCTTGGTACCTTTTTCAGTGAGGCAGTCGCATCTTTCTTCCTCTGTGTCTGGATGACGACTGCAGACTGACTCTTCCCTCTTACCAGAATTCTCTTGTTCTCATTGCCCCACCTCTACTTCCTGCCTGGTTACCTCTTAGTAGTGTTTAATGACTACGTGTTTCAGAAGCATACCTGTTATGCTAATATAAATATATTATGTAAATGTAATATTGATGTATTAATATTAACGTATATTAGTTATTGTCATAATGAATTTATGACTGCTCCTGAGAGAAAAATTGAAAAACATTTCAAAGTCTAATATTTTTTACCCTGTATATTTTTTGAGTCTTCAAATTATGTTACAATATCTGAAAAAATATTGAATGTTGTCATTACCTGAAACAGTGATACTATCTGTATCTCTTACTGCTTTTGTTGTTATTGGCATCTTTGGGCAATTACTTTTTATAAAGATTTAGAACTCTGTTTCTGTTACCTCTGCCTGTGTCCTTTCAAATCAATAATGGAATATATTCTAATATTAGCCAAAGTCCTTGATATACTAATTTCTAGAGCTATCTGCATAAATTGGAAAGGCCCATCCTGGAAATATTACCAGTTATGCATCCGGTCCTCTATGTAGGGAATTTGGATAAATGAATCTTGGGAAAGGATGCTCTTGTCATTAAGTATTCAGTGATGTCACTTTCCCTCTGAAAATGTCTTGACCCACTCCTTACCCCAGGAACAGAGGCTGGCAGTTGAGCAGCTATCCTCTGCCTGCTCTGACGGGCGGGGAGAGATGCCTGGTTAGACACTACTACCTGGGACCATGTGGAGCTTTCTCACCTGTGCCCCTTAGACAGTAAGACTGTCTTTATGATACTATGATATAGGATGAGGTACACTGATATTAAACCGTATCCTTTCTTGTTTTTTCTACCTTCTCTGTTGAAATTTTGTGATAATTGTAAATAACCGTAAGTAGGTGACAGATTTTATGTTTAATTCATATTATAAATTGAATTCCTATATTTTATTATACTTAATTATACTTCTTAAGGAAAGCCTGGTGTGTTACAAAAGTATATTGTTGAAAATAATTCTGACATCTGTGTCTAAAAATTACATTTTGAATGTGAATCTACATGTCAATTTTTATTATCTAGGTACTATCTTTTCCATATGAATTAATGTCTTATGTGTGTCCATAAGCTTTATGTGTCATTTTTCCATAGTGATATTTCATTTACACTTTATTAATATTGAGATGATTTCATAAAAACTAAAATGTTTGTGCTTTAAAATAGTTTTATGGTTGGTGAGTAAGTTTAGTTTATGAAAAAAAGTAATATCAGGTTTGCTGTTATGCACCTTTTCGCTTTTTAATGAGCAAGTGATGTGTTACCAAAACAAAACTAACGTTGACGCTGTAAAGAGGAAGTTGTTCTGGGCATCAGAGTTTCTTTCCCAATATGTGTAATGAATACTGGGTACTTGCCTTTGCGTTAAAGTTTACTAAGCTGAAGCAGAGGCTGTCAGGCACCAGCTGGGCAGTGTTAATGTGCACTCGAGCTACACATATTCTACTCTAAGAGAATGTGTATATCCAAGTAGCCGCGAAGCCAGAGCCTCAGTTACTTTGAAAAAAATGTTAAATAATCTAGTAGATAATTTTCAAGGAAAACATAAACTGAAGTGCACATGACCAAATTGTGAACAGAAAAGAAGGTTGGTGTTTTTAAGTTTGACTGATGTGGTCAACAGCAGCTCCACTGCTACTAACAAATGGTAGTGAATTATGCCTGAATAGTTAGTACACAGTTGTAATTTACTCCCTTGTTCATTTGTGTTACTTTTAAAGCAAGAGAGAAATTCAAGGAAGTTAAAAATTTTCTGTTAAATGAGAATGTCTAATTACCTTAATCTTTTACTAACTCAATGATTATTTGAAGGCTTAATTGATGTAGCACTCTGCATATTTGCTGTATGTAAATTTGTAAGCACATTATCTTAAAATCTTGGATTTAATTAGTATTTATATGTTATGAACTATATATAGAATGTGGAGAATTAGTAACAATACAGGCAGCCTTTTCCTATTTATTGAGTGAATCACTGAGCTGGTAACCACCAAGTGCCTTGTACAGAATAAACACTAAAAATACAGAGTGTATCAGTGCTTGCTTTGGAAGATGGTAATATTTGTTAGGATTTACTCTCAGCCTACCTACAGTTGCTGCATCTTTAGAAGGTAATGTCCAATTTTGCTATTTCCATCAAAGGTTAAAAAGAAATTGAAGACCATTTAAAAAGAATCAGTGTCTCAGTGTAGCCTTAACAATAATTAGAGTATGCTGCCTACTCATTTTTCTGTGTTTCTGCCTTCTATTCAGGTTACCATCCTCAACATTTTCCACGTCATAAATGAATGAATGAATGAATGAATGGACAAATAAATAAATAAATGCCCATTTGTTTGTTGCTTTGCCAAAGACAAAACACAGTATCTGTTTTTATCTTATCATAGAAATACATACAGAAACATTCGTATTTTAGATTAAGTGAATAGCATATCTTTATCCAAATTATTTAGTTGGATTCTTCCATATTACTTATATATAAGAAGAAAACTGCTAGAAATAAATTTTGAAGAGCTGTTTTATAATGGCTGTTTTCATGTGTAGTTGTGCGTTTTAATGTTAAGATTTGGAGATGGCCTTAAGTATATTTTTACATGAATGAAGCAAAATGTAGAACAGTTAGTGCTTAAAAAGTGACACTGTTCTGCATGGAGTGTGTTTTCCCCTCCTTTTATTGGAGGATATATTTACATTCTAGCTTCAGTGAGGGCTAAAGGGTTTAGTCTGTTTGTGGTGTTCCATGAAGAGAGCCTCGGCAGTCTAGTACAAACACCAGGCTGCTTTTCTTGTTTCATACAGCCAGTCATTTCTTGCCCTTAGTTAATTTGCTAAAATGCGGACTTCTTGATGGAAAATTGAGTACATATGAGTTAAGTTATTTTTATTAGTGTGTATCTGGTTTATATTAGTAACAAAATGAAACTTGTTCTTTTTACATAAGCATAAATACATTGTTTCATCTTGAGTGTAAAGGGGGACCTAAGGAACAGCTCAGCGTGATATCATCTGTGATGTCTCTGAATGTTTCTTTTAGGGGATATCCGCCTGACACCAGAGGATTTTGCTCGAGCTCAGAAGTACTGCAAATACGCTGGCAGTGCTCTGCAATATGAAGATGTGGGTACCGCTGTGCAGAACCTACAGAAGGCTCTTAGGCTGCTGACAACAGGCAGGGAGTGAAACGTCCGGCCTGGAAGCATGTGTTTGCAGCCTCCAGAACTAACAGCCATCACACTTTCCTCAGCCTGTCGGGAGCATGGTTTGACAGAAGACTGCAGTTCGACTGAGTATGACAATGACCTCTGTGTGTTTCAGATTCCTGGGGTCGCATTCTTCAGCTGCCTCAGCCAGTTGTCATTGTCCAGTGAGTAGATCCATTTATCTCTGAGTATAGAGAGCTGATCTTAGCATCAAACCCTGCTTCAAAAAAGGAAAATGTCCCTGTAGAAAATCATGTTGGGTATAAGCTTTCTTAATTTATATACACTAAAGGAAGTTTTTGAAAAATCTGTAATATTTGGACAAACCATATTATGTTGCTATAATATCCTAAATTAAACGTTTAATAAAGATTGCCAGAATATTCTGGATTGGAGATCTTGGCTTTTTTTTTCCCCTCTTAGGATTTGTAAAATGGTAAATGATAACAGATAAAATGTAGCTTATATTCATGTTTAGATAAAACTAGGTAACAAAATGAAAGGTCATGAAAGAAGTACAAGGTCTTGGAGAGGTAGAAAAATTATTACTGAAAATGACACTGGCTTCCAGGTGACTCCGTCCTACCCAGTGACATGCACAGTGAGTCACTGTCCTTCAGCAGCGGTTGGCTCCTATGTTAGAAAATGAAATGCAAAAGGTTGCACATGGATGATTTAGATGCCCTTCTGCCCTGGTAGAATTGTAGCATGAGGATAAAGAAGACCATAGTACGTTCGGTTCCAGGGAAGTTGATAAGTTTTATAGGGGTTATGCATCACCTAGAGGTGTGCTCTATGTACATTAATACCAATATTCTTTTAGTTTTTTCTATGCACTTCAGAACCAACCATGTTGTGATTTGCATGATAGAAATATCTTTTTATTAAGTGTTTTTAACTAAAAGGTGAATTTAATAAATGCAGTTGAATTTGTCTCATGCATTTTACTTATGCTATTTGGGTTAGAATTCCTTAGAGTAGGGGCCATAGACTCTATCATAGGGGATGACAAGCAATGATCCATAGACTCTGTTAACACAGGGGACACCAGGACATGACTCATAAACTCTGTTAACAGTGGAGACAGCAAGCCATGACCCATAGTATGCATTTAACACAGGCCAGAAGACCTATAGACTTCACCTGTCAAATAGGGTCTTATTTGAATGACACCATGCACCATGTCAGGGTGCTTAGCACACAACATTCTATACATGGTGATTATTCATTTAGATGTTTTAAAATGATACAAAATACTAACGATAATTTATTTTCTAAATAATCAGGAAATGTTTTCTTGCTGCTGCTTTGTGCCTGGTGTTGTTCTTTCCAAGAGCAAAGGGCAGAAAATAAAGTTGGTCTCAGTTTACATTCTAATGGGGAGGAAATGGCCGTCTTTAATAAAAGTTATCAGATGTTATATTCAATTAGTTTTTCTCAAGGACGCTTGTTAGAAAAGTAGTTCTCAGGTATTTCCTTGGCTGTATCAGTTAGAAACTCCAGCAGAGAGACTCAGCTTTCTGTCCTCCCAGAGATACTTTATCTAGTGACCCTAGTGTTTGAGTGGGTTAGTCTTGTCCAATCAAAAGGAATGGAGACAAAGGTGAGATCTCTAAAGCAGTACTTCACAACGGTGCAGGCCCTGGTCCACAGGGCATCAGTGACGTCTGGGCACTAGTGAGAAAGCTCAGTAACTACATTTAGCGAATTTCTGTGTTAGTAAATGCTGTGGAGAAACTGAAGCACGAACTAGGAGACTGGGTGTGTGCAGGTGTGTGCATGTCTGAATTGGTCATTCAGATGGGCCTCACAGGAAAGAGCAGAAGGGGTATCATAGCTACACTGGTGTGTGATTGGTCACGGAATGTATGTGGAAAGAAGACTGGTTATCTGGAAGGAGGCCTAGAGAACACAGGGTTACTATAACAGACTTGGCTCAGAATAAAGTGAAAAGCTGCAGGTAGGTGTTGAACAAAACAACGGCCCAGTATGATATTAGCATCCTTTAAAAGGATTATATTACTGTAATGCCTATGAATAAAGGCTAGGGAAAGAAGGATTGGGAGCTAAGAGGCCAGTTAAGAGTATTGCATTGATCAGAGTATGAGAGGTTAGCTTCAGCTACCATAGCCATAGAGAATGTAATATCCAATTGTATTAAGTAGGTCCAAGGGATTCTGTAAACTGGGCGTGAGGAAGAAGGTGGAAGTCATGATTGACCCAAGTCTCTAGCTTGAAGTGTAACCTCAGCTGGGAGTATGGTAGAATTTACCTTAGTTAAAGCACAGTGTTCCTAAGTCCTTGTGACCGTCCCAAATAAAACTGACAACAGTGTTTACCAATGTGACAGACAGGGATGAAAACATAAGATAAATTTCTGTCTACAGTGATTGTCCCAAATATCTCACCAAGCTCCTGCTCAGCTGAACCAAAGCCAAGAATGATTCCCATGGTCAGCCTGACCAAAATAGGCTTTCTAGCCTCAAGACTGCACCAAGAAAACATCCCCCCACTTCCACCTCTAGAAATGCCGTGTCTTGAGGTGCTAACCTGCTGTGTATATGACTTGAACTTCTGGAAACGTGAAGCTTCTCTGCCCTCGTTAAAAGAAAAAGCAAACTGAAAAAGATCTTCAGTTCTGAAAGAAAAGAGGACTGGAGAGTGGCGGTTATCTGCATGTCTTCCTCTTCACCCAGCCCCCTAATCTTTTCTTTGCAACTCATTTTGTACAGCAAAGCAGTCATGCTTAAAGCTTCTCGTTTGGGCCCTAAACAAACCTTTGTCTGTAGAAAAGTTGTGTTTTGAAGGACACAGAATTCTAAGATTTGTTTTTAATAGAGAAGAATGTTGTGGGTATGGGCTAAATGCCAGACACCAATTCTGAGTGATTTTACATACAATAACTTTTAACTTACTTCCTCTTGCCACCTGTCCTGAGAGATTGGCCCTATCATCTGCTTACAAAGTGACACACTGTAGTCACTTCAAAACTGTCTACTGCAGACAAGGAGGTTTCATGTAGGCAAACTACCAGAACAATGTTATGAGTGTATTCCATAGTATGAGAAACTGCAGACAGTTTATGTTGGGGGGTAGGGAGTAACAGCAGCTAGGTTTTTCTGCTGTCTTGAGCCATATCATCTGGTGAACTAAGTGAAGAAAACAGATCAAACATGAACTTCAAAGTCCTATTATACCTTCATATTTTCACACTGGAGTCTGGTCCAAAATTCACGACTCCAGGGAACTAGAAGTGGGATTTAAATAAGTGGTTCAGTAGGTTAGTGTGCTGTCTTGAAGGCACACTACCTCAAATGGAATTTGACAGTTTTATCTAATGTTAATTATTATCCCCGCTTCTCTTTCCCTTCAACTGTGGATCAGACTGGGATGTGGACTTCAATATAAAGCTAACAACAATTCTTGTTACTAGCTATTCCTTTTTATTGAGTTTCCATAAATAGACCAAAGCTCAGTTCAGATCCAAAGTTTGGAAGGGAAATAAAATGAATGTATAGTACTATCCCCATGTCTATAATTATACAGAAAGCTGGGTTCATAGTTGAGTGATATTGGTAGAAGATATAAAATGTTTAAGTCACTTATTGAAAACTAAAGTACTTTGAGGTCAGCAATCGAAGTGTATCATGGTAACGCTGTTGTGGGTGTCGGGTACAGGACATAGAGATGCTACATTGGACATTAGGTGCAAGACATGGTAGTGGTGTTCTAGAGACTGGGAATGGACTGCATTGGGGTTGGGTATGGGCATGATAATGCTACATTGGTGTGGGGTATATGACTTGGTAATGCTACATTGGAGGCTGGGTATGGGACATGGTAATGCTGCATTGGGCTTGAGTATGGGGCATGGTAATGCTGCATTGGGGTTGAGTATGAGGCTTGGTAATGCTGCATTTGAAGTTGGGTATGGGGCATGGTAATGCTGCATTGAAAGTGAGGTATGGCGAACAGTAATACTGCATTGGACGTGATGTGTGCAACACCATATTTCTGCCTAAGGAAGTCAGGAAAGATTTCACAAAACAGGTTAACCTGAAAGCTTGCAGAGAAATAAGGAATAGACAAAGAGAAAGGCTGTGAATAGAGAAAAAGAGTGGGGAATTAATTATTTGGTGGTATTATGCAGAGGCCAGGAGCTGGAAATGTTGCAGGAATAGTAAAGTGTTAGGGTTCCACTTGCATCTCTTCAAAATTCATCATTGGAAGGCCTAACTCCCAGTATAACTATTTGGAGATATCGCTTTTAGGAGAATAATTGGCGTTGTCCAAGACCCTAATCCTGTGGAGTTGGTGTCCTCAGAAAAGGTACGACCAGCAGAGCCCACTCTGCACAAGGACAGAGCAGCTGTATGAGGAAACAGTGCTACTCTTAGCTGCAGCGGTCGCCTGCCTGATTAGTAACTAGAGGAATTTTATTCAGGTCACAACCTTGCCATTTGTATAGGTATGAGGAACATTCACTGTCCCTTGAGAAAGAAAAGGACATTGACTTTCTCTCTTGCGCTGTGCGTGTATTATTTTCTACATCCAGCAAGGATCCTTTAACAGTAACTTGGAAAAATTACTACGACTTCTTAGCTGCACAGAAACTGAACATTATTTATGTTTATCCTTATATCACATGACAAGCCTCTTAATGTTCCAAGCTGTTTTCACATGTGTGATCATTAGTAACCCACATGTAAACTGGTGCATGAGTATTTCAAGCATGAATGACTGAAAGAATTATACAGAAATCATCAAATAAAAATGAATTTTCTAAAGCCTATGCTCATTAGTATCACATTATGAGGCAAAATTATAGTGATAATTGCATCTTACATATGTACCTGGGCTGGATATGTTCAGTGTCAAAGCACTTTCTTAGCATGTACAAGGGTGTGGCTCTAATCCCCAGCTCTGGTGATATGGGATTCCCCTCTGTATGCTGTAAATACCATTGGTTAATAAAGAAACTGGCTTGGCCTGATAGGGTAGAACAGAGCTAGGTGGGGAAAACTAAACAGTGCTGGGAGGAAGAACGCAGGGTGAAGAGAAGCCATGTAGCCCCGAAGGAGACAGACACCAGAACTTTAGCTGGTAAGCCACAGCCACGTGGTATTCATAGCATACAGAGGGAAATCCCACATCAGAAACTAGGCCATCATTTAGGTTTTATTTGTATATCCATCTTTAAATGATCAGAAGCGTCTAATTGGAATCCTGTGTCTTATTCTTAACACATTATAACTTCTTAAACAAATCCTGGTGATCTGAAGTTGACTAAATAGCCATGACAGCTCAAACATCATTCATCAGAAATGCCCTTACCTTTGCCAGTCACTTCTCTGGGCAGCATGACAAGAACACAGGAACAAAACATATATATCTG